CTACATTGGATTTTCAACTAGGGATGCACTTCCTATTTCCGTTTAGCAATACACTCCTATGACCTTAACAAATAATTTGTGTTTGTGTATTGTTTGTAGTGGAGAGCGACTCTTGTGCCATGTCTGAGGCTCCCGTACCAGATGTGTCCTTATCGGCCATTTGGGACCCGACAGTGAGGTCCAATGTCAAACAAACCAAATTAACAGACCAGAAACTCAATCACCTGAAGTCAGACCACCTGATACCTGGTTAGTTGAAGCTGTTTTATAAATTTGAAGTACTACTTCAAGATACAAATTCTATTATTTATGCTGAATTTGAATGTAACTACTGGGAAATTTTTGCTGCAGTTTAATTTTAGCCTTTTTCTCATTCTGTGAAGATTATTATTACAGAGAATATAAACAACATAATATTCTTTAGTACATAGTAATAAAATGTGAAGGGAAAAGTTTATACTGGGCGAAAATTGGTTTCATGGGCAAAGGGCGAAATTTTCCATTTCCAGTAAACACGGATAGACATGTGCTATTGTTCTGTGGTGTTAAAGTGATATTTTGTAAACATTTTGACTTTGATTTCTTTCAGGAACTCCACTAGATCTAGGTGAAAAGGAATCCAAAATCCCCATTATCCTTATCCAGACTCCAGGGGTTAGGTCAAGGTCCAATGGTCAGAGAAGTACAGCTCCCAGTTACGGTAGTGGATGGGACATAGTGATTCCGGCTGGATGGAGCATGGCATTCTGGGTAGCATTTAATTACAGGTGTGCACGTGCAGGTGGACTGCGGGAGTCTGAAAGTCTGGCTCATGAACAGGGGGTGTTGCACTTCCCACAGGGCTACCCAGACACTGTTGTTGGTAGAGAGGACGAGACGAATCTGTGCCACCAATTAATGGATACGTACAACAAGAAACCTCCAGCCAAGCGTCCTAACTACACCAAGCTTGGCATCCAGTGCCCATTCCAGTTCCCATGGGGAAGCCTAGTGAAGCAGTGGGCAGTGAAAGAGGAAATGCAAGATGAGTGGAATCAAACTGGAGGCAACTTTTATGTAATGAGAGACAAAACAATTTTAAAGAAAATGAGTAAAGTTCTATCGGATGTAACCTGGCGAAAGTTGTCCAATGAAAACAAAGACAGCTTATTTACGACAATGGTGTCTATGTTGAACAAGAATGATGAACTTCTGACTTTGGGAAACAAACACACCAACTGTTTAGTGCCAGTGGAGGTTACCATGGTAACTCGAGGTTGTTCTGAAAGATTTGCAAACATAGCCATTCCACTGCAAGAGGATTTGGCAAGGCTAGTATCAAACCCGAAATCTGGCGCACCCATGGAAACGATTCACAAAGAGGAAACGAGGAGAGAGAAAAAAGAGGAGAAAAAGAAGAAAATAAAGTTACAAAAGAGTGGAGGAGCATGTAAGACAGAAACAATGGATAGTGCTGGTAAAAATAAGGTTGGAAATGAAAACAAAAACTCTGCTGATGGTCAGGGTGAAGCACTTGATGTTGATGAGATCAGTGTAGACCTCATTGACAGCTGTAGTCGTCCTGTGATCGGTTACATAAAGGAAGGAGGGTTCACCCTGGGAGTCGGTAACGGTAGGGGTCTGGGGTTTGTCTCCTTCATCGGACTGTTAAAACTGCTGGACACAGTGCCACACAAGCTGCCTTGTACAGTGTTGGTTAGAAGCACAACCTCTTATCAGTACAGATATGCTTACATCAATATCCCTTATTAAAAGAATGAAACATTTGTTGTGTTTTCCTCTGTACTTGTTAACCTGACCAGCTCTGATGATAAAGTCATTGGACTGGTATATTGTCACTTAAGTCATGGTGTAATACAGTGTATACTGTGAAATCAGTAATGTTTTGGGGCCCAAATTTCATTGTTTCTCGACAAAACACCATTTCATGGGTACATGAATTAATGGATTACTAGTACTCACTCAAATAAAGAATTGCTAATATCAAATTATTATTACTTTGTGGATCTAGGAATTCATGGATGAAGATTACCCACGAAATCAACAAAATTAAAAACCCCATGAAAATTAGTGGTTTCACCGTACATGTAACGCGCACTACTGGAGCCAGAATTATAAGTACACTCGAGATGATTTATAAGTACACTCGAGATGATT